ACTCTGGGCCTGGGCGCTGTCCCTCAGCTCTTCAGCTCAAGGCGAGCGCTCTACCACTTGAGCCACAGCGCCACTTCTGGTTTTCTGAGTGGTTTGTTGGAGATAAGAGTCTCACGGTCTTTCCTGACTGGGCTGGCTTTGAACCGGGATCCTCAGCTCTCAGCCTCCTGAGTAGCTAGGACTATAGGTATGAGCCACCGGTGCCCAGCCCCACATTAAAGTTTCTAGGAAAGGCCAGGATCTCCCTGGCTGGAGGCCGACCTCCCAGCCCTGGAGGCAGGGAAGGCCTGGAGGCAGCGCCCGCCGCCCCTCAGGCAGCTGTGGTTCCTGCATGCTGAGTGCTTCTACGTGTATGCAACCCAGCTTCTGTGTCCTCCAGCTGTCCCACCCCGGGCCATTTTAGCTTCTCCCATGGGATGTAGTGACAGCTCTTTTCAGTCTTCGTTCCTACTCCTGGGAAGGCTAACGGTGCTGAACATCTTGTGCTGTCCGCATCTGCCACCTGTGTTCCCTCCTAGTGAAGTGGCTGCCATTCTTTTGTGATGTCCACGCGCTGGGCTCTGCTCCTGGGTGGAGCAGGGCTCTTGGATCTGGTGGTGGTGCTCAGGCTCCCTCTACCCCAGCCATGCCCACACCAGCTGCTAGTGGGAGGACTAGAAGGGGGGCATCCAAGTCTCTCCCTGCGCCCCTCTCCACACACTCAGGACAAGCTCATGTGTGAGGACTGAGTCCTAAGCAATCCTCAGACCTGGAGAATGCCCTGGGGTGGGCATACTTTGCCCACTGTGCCTCAGGGCCTGGCCAGTAGGCCTGTGCTGGCACTTGGGGACAAGGACCTTCTCGGGAGAGAGACGCACCTGAGCCACCCCCTGCAGACCATCAGTCTCGCCCAGGACCTGGGTCACAAGTGGCTGGCTCCTTGAGGCTCAGCCTGAGGTACAACAACAAGCCAGGAGGACAAAGACCATGTGGCTTTAGAGGTCTGTGGGAAGGGTAGGCAAGCCAAGCTCTTGGTCCTACTAGGGACCAGGGACCTGCCGCCCCCACCTCCCCCGGCCCAACTGCAGGGCACAAACCTTAACCTGCATTCTAGTGCTCACCCCAACAGGCACAGGCAGAGCCCACTCTTTTTTTTCTCCCGGTCGTGGGGCTTGAACTGGGCGCTGTCCCTCAGCTCTTCAGCTCAAGGCTAGCGCTCTACCACTTTGAGTCACAGCGCCACTTTGGCTTTTTCTGCTTATGTGGTTGCTGAGGCACGGAACCCAGGGCCTCAGGCATGTGAGGCAAGCGCTCTACCACTGAGCCACCTTCCCAGCCCAGGGCCCACCCTTAAAGCCACATCCCGCATGCCCTCCATCTGTTCCCAGGGAGAACTTGTCAGATGGTGTTTTTGGTTGAGGGGGAAGCTGCTTGTGGGGTCCTGAGCACTGGGTCTCTAGGCCACTAGCCCACCCTGGGAACCACATCTGGCCGGTTCAGGGCACCACAAATGATGGCAGCAGGGTGGGTGGGGCCAGCTCCCCCTGCTGGACACTACTAGAAGCACAGCCCAGTGTGATCAGTGCTTTTACTAGGGACCAGGGGCCTGGTCAGACAGAGGGGACAGGAGAGCTGTAAACATGCCCCTCCCACCTGAGGACTGGTAAACACCAGGTGGGCCCGCTGTCCACTAGGTGGCAGTAGCAGCTTCAAGTTGTGCTGGAGCAACACAGTCCCACCGAGACCCGCACCTCAGGCCGGAACAGGCTGGCCATGGGTGGACCGAGGCGCCCACTCATGGCCGGTGTCCAGGCCAGCGGTGACCTTCGCGCATCCCAGTGAGACACGTCCAGCTAGATGAAGGTGGAGTCCAGAGGACCAGCATCCAGCTGGCTGAGAGCCCGGGCCTCAAAGAGCTGCTTGATGAGGGCAGACTTCTCCTGCTCCAGCTGGGTGATGCGCTCACTCTTGTCTGTCACCTCCTGTGTATGCACGTGGGTGTCAGGGCCAGCAGGCCTCCAGCCGGTCCCCGACCCCCTCCCCGTCCTGGCCCCTCACCTCACCTGCGTAAGGAGCCGGTTCTGCTCCTTCAGCATGAGGATGGTCTGCTGCTGCCAGCTTGGGGCCAAAGGTGGGCTGGGGGCCGGCGGGGAGCACAGGGCCCCTGAGGACGAGGGCGCCGCCTGCGGAAGGGCGGGGTCAGCTGGCCTCCCCCGGCTCATTCCCAGGACCCCGGCGAGGGGCAGCCCGGCAAGGGGCAGCCCAGCGAGGGTGCGGGGAGGGTCCTGAGCACTCACCCGGCCGGCACAGGCGGCCGCCAGCAGCTCCCCCAGGCAGCGGGCCACCTCTTGCACTTTGGGAAGCAGCTGCCCCAGTGGGCGGGGACTCCCCGCAGCCCCCAGGTCCTGAGAGAGAAGCAGGAGAGCTGGGCGGGGCGGTCTCGGCATGGCACTCTCGCACCCACACCCCTGTTGTCCAGAGCCCAGAGGTGTCACCGATGGACCGAGGACCCTGGGCTGTCGCTGGCCGGAGTGTGGCCAAGCCCCGGGGTCCTAGGTGGGGAGGCCCCGCACTCACGTCCCCGGCTCGGCCGCGGCTCAGGCGGTGCTGGCGCTCCCGCACACGCTGCAGCTGCTGCTGGTGCCAGTCCCGGCCCCGCACCATCATCTCCAGACCCTGCAGGAGCACCTCCTGCTCCTGCTCCAGCTCCTTCAGCTGCTTCAGCTGCAGGCAACATGCAAATGTGCAGGTGGGCTCGCACCAGCGGGCACTCCCACACCGCACCGCACCACACCGCGCTCCGGGCCGCAGGTTCAGGTCCAGCCTGTGCTTGTGCCCGCGCACAGCAGCACCGGACATGAACGCCCGCTCCTGAGCTGCCTCCGGCCCTGCCTTGGGAGCGCACCCCGAGGTTACAGCTCATCTCTCAGCCCCGCTACTGATGCTTCCTCAGGGCAGGATGGGGACTGACCCCTGACCCCTGCCCTCTGGGATTCAGCTTGGGGCAAGCACGGCAGTGCCCACATCTAGTGTCCCCACACGTCCCTCAGGGACGTACTCCTGCCAGAGGCCCCCAGAACCCACACCTGGCCGCTCCTCCCTGGCCTCCTGGACACCATGGAGTCTGAGTTCCTGTCCCTCTTACCAGGTCACAGTCCATGCCACTGGTGATCGTGTGCCTCCGCCGCTCACCTCGGGCCCTCGGGGCCCGCCGCGCGTCCCCCTCGCCTGCCCCCAGGGCCCTGCAGACCTCTGCGCCTGTGGAGAGAGGCCAGGGCTCGTCTCACCTCTGAGCCTGCCCAGAGGGACTCCATGTTCCAGCATCCCCACCCCCCAACCCCCCTGTGAAGAACAGCCCACCTTGGAGGCTCTCAAAGGCTCCTAGGTCAAAGGTCAGGGATGAGATGGGTGAGGTGGGCCTTGGGTCCTCTCTGACCCGCACAGGACCCTTGGGTACAGAAGCTGGCACAGGGAGGGGACAAGGAGGGACTAGGGGGCTAGGTGACAGAGCCTTAACTCTTTAGGGACCTCAGTAGAAAGTGGTCTTATGGGCCAGGCACCGGTGGCTCACGCCTGTAATCCTAGCTACTCAGGAGGCTGAGATCTGAGGATCTTGGTTCTAAGCCAGCCTGGGCAGGAAAGTCCATGAGACTCCTCTCTAATAAACTACCAGAAAACCAGAAGTGGCGCTGTGGCTCAAGCGGTAGAGCGCTCGCCTTGAGCTGAAGAGCTGAGGGACAGTGCCCAGGCCCAGAGTTCAGGCCCACAACTGACAAAAAATAAATAGAATACAGAGCTGGGAAGGTGGCTTAGCGGTGGAGTGCTCACCTAGCATGCATGAAGTCCTGGGTTTGAGACCTCAGTACCACATGCATAGAAAAAGCTGGAAGTAGTGCTGTGGCTCAAAGTGATAGAGTGCTAGCCTGAGCACAAAGAGGCTCAAGAACAGTGCCCAGGTCCTGAGTTCAAGCCCCATGACCAACAACAACAACGAAGAGAGTGGTCATGTGTGCAGGACAGCATGGTCATGTGGTCATGTGTGTGCGCCAGAAGGCATGCTGCCACAGACAGCAGTGTCCTGAGGTCTCGAACTTCTGCCTGGCTCACTGAGGCTCATGGGATGCCTCGTGTCGGGAGAGCCCTCCGCTCTTACAAGCAGGGTGCAGGTGTGGAGGAACATGCCTTCCCCTGCCCCCGCCCCCCCCTCCAGTCCACACCCCAGGGCTTGGCAGCTGCAGGCAGGTATGTATGGCTGGGATTCTGGCTCCAAGCAGGCCGCAGAGCTCGTCCCGACCTGCCTCATGAGCAGCCAGCAGCTCCGGGCATGGCGGTGGAGAGCACAGGAGGCAAGGGAGCGCAGGCAGGGAGCCGGTTCTGTGGGGGATGCCTAGACACCTGAGCCCGACAAGCCTCTGGGCTGGAGACCTGGGGGTGTTCTGCGTGGTTTGCAGTGCTTCACTGGGGAGCTAGGTTGGTTTCGCTCCTTCTCAGGCGCCATGGTCTTCTCAGGGCCGTGGAGTGCGCGGAGGAGTCACGGCCTGCAGCCTGCCCAGCGATGGAGGTGAGCGTTGCCCAGTGGCGGTCGTGGGCACTGACTGGGCACGCGGCCTTCAGAGGCGTGGGACAGCTGGCCCAGAACCACCCAGGGTTTCAGGGTAGAGCAGGGCTGGACCACAGACAAAGAGTCTGCCCATCACAGGCAATCCGCGGCTGATTTCAAACTGCACAGCTACACGGACAGTGTCTCTGGAGTGCTCCCTGAGTGAGGGACCAGCTATGTCCAGGAGACATGAGGACAGGGCTGTGCGGTGCCCAGTGTAAAGCTGACCAACGCCTCTCCTCGGGAGGCAGAGGGAGGGGCGCTGGTGTGGCCGGCTGGGCAGAGGACTGGCCGCGTCGCGGGCAGGTGCACAGGCTGAAGGGGCTCAGGGCTCCTCCGGGGGCCGGGCCCCCACAACCAACCACAATGCAGGTCCTGTTCCCAAGGCAGCCAGGGAAGGGGGACAGTCAATAGACTCCTGTCCCTGCCAACTGGACCGGAAGCCAGAAAAGCCCACTGGAAGTCCCGGGGGAGGGGGGGTGGCTGGGAAGGTGGCTCGGTGGTAGAGCGCTTGCCTCGCATGCAGGAGGCCCTGGGTTCGATTCCTCAGCACCACATAAGCAGA